TTTTGTTTTTTTGAATTCAGGCAAGTTTACTTGCCTGGCGTTTGCCTCCCCCCCTCCTCTCGCTCTACTTCAGACGAATACTGGCGTGCAAGTGCCTTTCGACTTGCGTGGTTTCCGCCCGCACGTGCAGGTCGTTCTCGGCTTGCTTCCGGTTCAGGCCCCCCCGCCGTCCATGCAAGCAAATTTGCCGGAGCCTAAAGAAAGAGGCTCATAGTTACCGCTCCCCCCCGCCCCTCCGGAATTTGTCGTCGGCCTCGTGCCAAACAGGCGACGGAGGCCGTGGGGGTTCTGGAGGCCACTTGCGAGCTGCTGGACGACCTCCTGCGTGTGCGGGTGCCGGAGACGATGCGGACGATCACGGGCATCCAGGACAGCATCCTGCCGGTGCAGGAGGCCGTGAACAGCTTCAGGATTCAGCCCGCCGGAGGTGTAGGATCAGGCGGAGGGACCTTGAGATCTTGGCGTTGCAGTTTTTCCTCACTGGGCGTCTTTGCCTGGTGTCGGGCCCCAGGAGCATCACAGATCGATCTTGCTAAAAACATTCAATGGAAAGATGTCGTCTAGGGATCCGGTTTTGATACTTCGCGAGGCTGCAGCTTTTTCGCAACGTCAGATGTCAGGGTAGGAGGGAGGGAGGTCAGAGGAAAATGAGGTATTGATACCGCTACCGTTACTTTGCTTTCGCCTTTTGGGGCCTCCTGGGAGGCCCTCGTTGGTGGTGGTGGTGGTGGTTCTGATGACGACGATGACGACGAAGATACTGATGGTGAGTATGATGCTGATGATGCTGCTGATGATGATGATGATGTTGATCATGATCATGATGATGACGATGATGCTGTTGATGATGATGCTGATGACGATGAGCATGATGAGCTGATGAGGATGCTGCTGCTACTGCTGCTGCTGCTGCTGATGATGATGATGATGATGATGATGATGTCGACGATGATGATGATGATGCTGATGCTGATGCTGCTGATGCTGCTGATGATGTGATGATGTTGATGATGATTGTGGTGGTGGTGGCGGTGGTGACTGTGGCGATGATATGTGCGATGATGATGGGGATGATGATGATGATGATGATGATGATGATGGTGGTGGTGGTGATGATGATGGGGATGATGATGATGATGATGATGATGATGATGCTGCTGATGCTGCTGATGATGATGACGATGGTGCTGCTGATGCTGATGGTGGTAATGATGATAATGATGATGCTGTTGATGATGATGATGATGATGATGATGATGATGATGATGATGATGATGATGATGATGCTCGAAGACCCTGAAGCATGCCAAAACATTATTCTCTGGACTCCAATGCCATCAACCTGACAGTTGCGCCTTGACGATCCTGAATCGTGCCAGAACGCCATTCCTGGGGCTTCAACACCGCGAATCAACGTAACTGTTGCACCCTCATCCGGAATCTTTCCAAAACGCCATTTCTGGTACGTTGACCATGGGATTCAGTGAACCTCTTGAAATACGAAAAACGAATGTGCGCGGCGCTAGGGTGAGAGCCACATCTTGACAACGAACAGCCCTTTCAATCCGTGAAACTCTTTGCAAAGTTGTAAAACGAATGTGCGCAACGCTTAGGCGAGAGCCACATTTTGAAAACTAGCCGCCCTCAATCCGTGAAGCTCTTGCACAGTTGTAAAACTTGTGTGCGCGGCGCCAGGGTGAGAGCCACAGTTTGAAAACGACCCGCCCTTCATCTGTGAAGCTGTTGCCATTTTTAAAGTTCAGGGTCATTAATGGTGAGGAAGTCTCAGGCGAAAAGCCCGGCCCGCCCTGTTGGCTGGCCTCGGAGTGCGACAGGAAGAAGTTATGTATAAGGAGCAAGGAAAAGAATGGAGGAGGAGGAGGAGAAGGAGGAGGAGGAGGAGGAGGAGGAGGACGATGATGCTGATGACGATGATGATGATGAGCTGATGAGGATGCTGCTGATGATGATGATCATGATCAGGAGCATGATAATATTGATGATGATGTCGACGATTATGCTGATGATTATGCTGATGCTGATGCTGATGCTGCTGATGCCGCTGATGATGATGTGACGATGTGATGATGACGATGATGATGGTGGTGGTAGCGGTGGTGACTGTGGCGATTATATTTGCGATGATGATGGGGATGATGATGATGATGATGATGATGATGATGATGATGATGATGATTATGATGATGATGATGATGATGATGATGATGATGATGATGGTGCTGCTGATGCTGATGGTGATAACGATGAACATTATGATGCTGCTGATGATGATGATGCTCATGCCCCATACAACGGTTCGTTTCCACTGAGGGAACTGCTTCGTTGGAAGGCAACCGTTTGAAGACCCTGAAGCATGCCAAAACATTATTCTTTGGACTCCAACGTCATCAACCTGAGGGTTGCGTCTTGACGAGACTGAATCGTGCCAGAACGCCATTCCTGGGGCTTCAACACCGCGAATGAACGTAACTGTTGCACCCTCATCCGGAATCTTTCCCAAACACCATTTCTGGTACGTTGACCATGCGATTCAGTGAACCTCTGGAAATACGAAAAACTTCTGTGCGCGGCGGTAGGGTGAAGCCACATCTTGACAACGAACAGCCTTCTCAATCCGTGAAATTCTTGCGAAGCTGTAAAACGAATGTGCGCAACGCTTAGGCGAGAGCCACATTTTGAAAACTAGCCGCCCTCAATCCGTGAAGCTCTTGCACAGTTGTAAGAGTCATGTGCGCGGCGCCAGGGTGAGAGCCACAGTTTGAAAACGACCCGCCCTCCATCTGTGAAGCTGTTGCCATTTTTTAAGTTCAGGGTCATACATGGTGAGGAAGTCTCAGGCGAAAAGCCCGGCCCGCCCTGTCGACTGGCCTCGGAGTGCGACAGGGAGAAGTTATGTATACGGATAAAGGAAAAGGAATGGAGGAGGAAGAAGAGGAGGAGAAGGAGGAGGACGATGATGATGATGAGGAGGAGGAGGAGGAGGAGGAGGAGGAGGAGGAGGAGGAGGAAGCAGGAGGAGGAGCGAGGAGGATAATGAGAAGGAGGAGGCCCACGGAGGAGGACGAGGAGGAGGAGGGCGAAGAGGATGCTGAGGAGGAGGAGGAGGAAGGGGAGGAGGAGGAGGAGGAGGACGAGGAAGATAAGGACGAGAAGGAGGAGGACGAGGAGGAGAAGGAGGACGAGGAAGAGGACGAGGACGAGGACGAGGACGAGGAGGAGGAGGAGGAGGAGGAGGAGACACGGGGTGAAACCTATGAAGCCAGATGTGCCAGTGTGCCAGATATTTTCGCCTGGAGCTCCAGAGCCTGAAAACGGTCTCGGGAGGGCCCCAGCCGCTGACGCAGGTCCCTCCATCCATCACTCGCCCCTCGCTTCCTTCTATCTCCTCGCCCATCGCCCCTCGCCCTTCGCATCCCTCCCCAGACTTCCATACGTCCAGGACAAATCGAGACCAAGGTTTCAAACACAATTCTGGCGTCGGGAGGCCATCCTCGGGCTTGACACTCAACAAGGACGATTTGGGTCGAAAGGCACTGGCCCTGGGGAATGGTCCCAGACTTCCGACGACTCTTCTTTTCGAGCCGCTGGCCCCCTGAGCTCTCGTTTCGCTCCACCTTTTGGTTGACGGCCCCAGGGGCGGCACAAACGGCCAGCAGCTTCCCTGGTGTTTTGGAGCATCTGCAGACGCTGGGAGGTCTGGGCCAGCCCCTTGAACTCGACCCTGGGCTCCGTCCCGCGGCGCGCCCAAGCCAGAGTTTCGAGGGGAGTCCCCATCACCCACCCAGCCACCCCAGCCCAAGCCGAAGCCCCCAGTTTGCCCTCCACGCCGGGGGGTGGGGGGGGGCGTCGGGGAGCCTTGCAAAAACACACACACACACACGAACACACACACGCAAACAAGAACACACAAACACACAAACACACAAACACACACACACAAACACACACACACACAGAAACACACACAAACACACACAAACACACAAGCACACAAGCACACACAAACACGCAAACACACAGACATACAGACACACACAGACACACACAACCATACACAAACACCTGCACACACAAACACACACAACCACACGCACAAACGCACACAACCATACACACAAACCCACAAACACACACAAACACACACACGCACGCACGCACGCACGCACGCCCACACGCAAGCACCCACGCACACGCGCCCACACGCCCACGCCCACACCCACGCCCACACCCACACCCACCCGCACCCGCACCCGCACCCGCACCCGCACTCACACCCACACCCACACCCACCCCCACATGCACGCACGCACGCGCGCGCACGCACACACGCACACACACGCACGCACGCACACGCACACGCACACGCACACGCACACGCACACGCACATGCGCACGCACACGCGCACGCGCACGCACACGCGCACGCGCAGCACACGGCACAGCATTACGCACACCGCACACGCAAGGGCCACAGCACACGCACGCGCAAGAGCAACCAGCAACGCGCACGCGCCACGCGCACGCGCACGCGCACGCGCACGCGCACGCGCACACGCACACGCACAGCACACGCACACGCACACGCACACGCACACGCACACGCACACTACACACGCCCACACGGCACACGCCCACCCGCCCACCCGCCATACACACCCGCACACCCGCACCACCCGCTACACCCGCACACCCGCACACCCGCTCCCCGCACACCGCGCGCACGCACACACGCACACACGACACACGCACACACGCACACACGCACACAGCACACACGCAACACACGCACACACGTACGCACACATACACACACACGCACACGCTCGCACACACACGCACACACGCACACGCACACATGCACACACGTGCACACGCACACACACACACACACGTGCACAGGCGCACGCGCGCACGCGCGCACGCGCGCACGCCCACACGCACACACGCACACACGCACGCACACTCATATGCACACACGCAACACGCACACACGCACACACGCACCCACGCACACACACACGCACACACGCACACACGCACGCATGCACACACGCACACACACGCACACGCACGCACGCGCACGCACACGCACGCATACGCACGCGCGCGCACGCACGCGCACGCACCCACCAGCACGCACCGCCACGCACCCGCACGCACACGCCGCACACACACACACACGCACACGCACGCACACGCACGCACACGCACGGACACACCCGCACACACACACGCGCACACACACGCACCCACCCGCACGCACACGAACGAGAAGCACGCACACGCACGAACACGCACCCGCAAACGCACCCGCACACGCACCCGCACACGCACCCGCACAAGCACCTGCACACGCATCCGCACGCACCCGCACACGCACCCGCACACGCACCCGCCACACGCACCCCGCACGCACCCGCACACGCACGCACGCACCCGCACCGCACCGCACGCACCCCAACACGCACACGCACGCACATGACGCACGAGCACGTTACAGCATCGCCCCACACGCACCACGCACGCACCACGCACGACACAGCACGCACCCCGCAACGCACGCACACGCACGCGCACGCACGCACGCATGCACGCACAACCGCGCACCCGCCCGCACGGCACGCACCGCACGCACACACGCGTCCATGCACGCACGGCAACGTACGCATACACGCACGCACCACGCACGAACGCACACACGCACGCACACACGCACGCACACACCACACACACGCACACACACACGCACACGCACACGCACACACACACGCACACGCACACGCACACACGCACACACGCGCATGCATACACGCACACGCACGCACGCACGCACGCACGCACGCACGCACGCACGCACGCAACACACGCAACACACACACACACGCACACACGCGCACACCCACACACACGCACGCACGCACCCACACACGCACACGCACACGCACACGCACGCGCACACGCACACGCCCGCACACGCACCCGCACACGCACATACACACATACACACATACACACATACACACGTACACACATACACACATACACACATACACACCTATGCACACACACATACACATACACACATGCACACACATACACACGTACACACATAAACATACCCACAGACACGTACACACATACACATACACACATACACATACACACATACATACACAAACACGCATACACACATACACACATACACACATACACATACACACATACACACATACACACATACACATACACACATACACATACACATCCACATACACAGACACAGCCATAGACACATACACATACACATATACAAACACATACACATACACATACACATACCCATACCCATAGTTATACACATACACATACACAACTACACATACCCATACACATACGCATAGACATGCACAACCCATCCAGACATACACATACACATACACATACACAAGCACATACACATACCCATTCACATACACATACACGTACCATACACATACACATACACACATACACATACACATACACATACCCATACACATACACATATCCATACACAGACTCATTCAACTTCACATACACATACGCATACACATACACATGCACATACACATACACATACACATACTCATTCATATTCACATTCACATACACATACACATACACATTCACACACATAGACATGCCCATACACACATACAAATACACATACACATAGACATACGCATACACATACACATACACATACACAGACACAGACACAGACACATACACATACACATACATGTGCACATACACACATTCACATTCACACACGTACACATACACATACACATACACATACACATACACATACACATACACATACCCATACCCATACACATGCACACAAACACATACACACATACACAAACACAAACACATACACAAACACATACACAACGCATACACATACACAAACACATACCCATACACATACACATACACATACACAGTCACATACACATACCCTTACACCATACACACATACGCATACACATACACAGACACAGACACATACACATACACATACACACAGTGACATACACATACACAAACACATACACACATACACATACACATACCCATACCCATACACATACACAAACACATACACACATACACATACACATACACAAACACATACACATACACATACACATACCCATACGCATACATATAAGCATACACATGCACATACACAAACACAAACACAGCCACATACACATACACATACACATACACACGTTCACATTGACATACACATTCACATACACATACACATACGCGTACCCATACGCATACACAAACGCATACAGACATACACATACGCATACACATACACATACACATACCCATACACATATTCATACACATACACATACACATACACATACACATACACATACACATACGCATACACATACGCATACGCCATACACATACACAGACACATACACAGACACATACATATACACATACACATACACATACACACATACATACACATACACACGTACACATACACATATACATTCACATACACATACCCAAACACATACACATACACATACCCATACCCATACCTTTACGCATACACATACCCATACCCATACACATACACATACCCATACCCATACCCATACACATACACATACCCATACCCATACACATACACATACACACATACACGCACGGAGTCCGTACCCCCCCCCACCACACCCGAACTTTGGGTCTTCGGGCTGGGTTGGCGTGGCCTGGTAGGTGGTCGGAGCTCCAGCTCCCGAAAGGCCCCCGGAAGGCAGAGAGACCTCGTGCCCGTGGCCCGCGATCCCGCTCCCGCGGGGGGCGGCGCGAGCGGGGCGGCCGCCTCGTGGGATGCCGAGGGAGGGCTCTGCCAGGCCCCGCCTCTCGCTGCTCTGCGAGGCGCCCTCCTCCCGAGAGAGATCCCTCCTCCCGAGGAGCCCCTCCCGTGCGCTCTTGGGAGTGCCCCCCCCCCCGCGCGCCGCCCCCCCCCCCCCCCCCCCCCTTCGCAGGCCTCCTGCCCAGGCGCCCGCCGATGCCTGCGCTTCTTGGCCGTTCTGGGCGCTCCACAGAAGGGCCTCGCCTTCGAGGGTCGAAGGAGTTGCCCTCGCCTTCTCGGCGGAAGGCGGCGGAAGGCCGGCGGAAGTCGGCGAAGGTAAAACGAGGCTGCCTCCGCAGGCGGAAGTAGGCGGAAGCTCGGCGGAAGGCGGCGGAAGTAAGAGATGCGCCCCCAGGAGATGCAACCGTTTTTTGGGGGTTCAGGGCTTCCGGGATTGGACATCTTGGCTCAGGCTGTTTCTCTTCCAAGCGGCGTTGACTCACTCAAGCATACAATTTCCGCGCGCCTTCTCCCCTTCGCAAGATGTACCGCAGTCTCCGCCCGGCCGCCCTGAACATGGCCGTCGTCCCTGGACTGCACCTGTCGACGGCCAAGAGCCAGTCGAGGCCCAGGGGCTACAAGAGCTTCCGGCCCGCTCCCCTGGACATGGCCCTGGTACCTGGGGTGCACCATTCGACGGCCAACGGCAGGTGGCCGTCGATGCCGAACGAGGACGCCCACGCGTGCTCGCCGAAGCACTGCGACCCGAAGGCCGTCGACGACTCGATGGACACCTGCAGCACGGCGGCCGACGGCGAGAGCCTCGCGCCCTTCGGCGAGGACGTGGCCTCCGACCCCTGCGAGTCCGGCAGCGAGCCCAGCTCGCCGTTCGCCAGCGCGCTGCTCGAGAGGCCCAAGGCCTGCGAGCCCCTGTCGCCGTTCAGCCAGATGCTGCAGGCCAAGCGCCAGAGCGCAGCGCGGCAGGTGAGGGAGCCCCTCTCGCCGTTCAGCATGGCGCAGCGCCAGCGCGCCCTCGCCCGCTGCTTCTAGAGTCCCCCTGCCGTGCCGCAGGTCTTCGCGTGCCCGACGCCCGTCGGGGCTTCGCACGCTGTCTGAGAGTTTCGAGTGCGGGGCCCGCGAGGGCCTTAGGCTGGTTCAGTCTTCGGATAAGTTATGAATGGTTCTATGGATTCGGCTGTCTAGATTTGGTTCAGCAAGACAGCACGACCTGTTTGCTAGGGCGGAGCCTTGGTTTTGGTTGATGCTGCCGAGCATGTGGCCTCAGTCGCTCCATCCTTGGATTAGAGACGGGCGCAACAGCATTACGCCGAGGCTGACGGAGCCTCGGCGAACGCGATGCTGTTCTGGATGCCAACAGGGCGAACGGGTGCCCAAGAATGCAGCAGTTATTCGCTGGGCCTTGGCTTCCAGCGACTGATGCCTTCTCCTCCAGCCGACCAGCGAGCTTTTCCAGCCGCAGGCCAGCCTGTGGCGCGCGCGCTGGGACAGCGGAGCTCGGCTTCTGCACGGTCGGGGACGTGTTCACCTCGCGTCTTCCGTTTCTCCTCCTCGTCCTTCGCGCGCCGCCGCGCCTCGCCTGCCGTATCTCGTGCCTCCTTCGCTCCGTCCTGCTCTTCCTCGTCTTCCTCTCCCTCCTCCTCGCTCATCGCCGGATATCTTGCGACTCCTCGCACAGGGGGGGTCGCTGGGCTTGAGCTCTGAAGCCCTAGAGTCAACTTAGGAAGATGCTTACGGCTCCTACTGCTGGAGTCAATGGGCTTGATGCCCCGGACTCATGATCTCATGCTGAAAGATCAGACTCTGTGCTGTCTTACAGCATTCCAGATGACACTTTCACGCCTTGCTGTCGGTCCTTGGACAGTGCATTCTGCATGTGCAAAGCATGCCCCTCTCTCTCTCCCTCTCCGTCCCTCTCTCTCTCTCTTTTATCGTGCCTGTCTTCTGTCCCCCTCAGCCTCTCCCTGCCTCCCTCCCCCGCCCCTCTCTGTCTCCGCTATTCCCTTCTTGATTCATCCTCCAGATTCCCACTTCAGCATCCCGTGTATCTTCTTCCAGCAGCGGGCCCACGGGATTCAGACTGAAGCCTCAAGCTTAGAGTTCGGCAGAACAATCCTCGGCAGGAAGGCTGAGATTCAGGCTGGAATTCTAGATCGTATGCTGTCCGCTGGCATTCGGGGCTGGAAGCCCCACCGTTATTCCTCTGGCAGTGTAGTTTGTATCTAGTTGATCCTTTCTCCCATCTCCCCCTCCCTGTTTTCGCGAACCCTTCCCCATTCCCCCCTCTGCCTTCACCGAGTCTTCGTTTCCACCAGAATCCCGAGCACTTCTTAATTCAGGCGAGCTTAGGCTGTGGGTTCGAGCTCGAAGCTGGAAGCCCAGTACCAGAAGATCAGACTTTTGTGCTGATGCTGTCTGCCCGCGTCCGGGAGGCTGGAAGCCTGCCCGTGAGGGAACAAAAACGGGGCCGTCTGTGCCGACGCAGGCGGGTCAGCTGCCCGCGTGGGCGACGCGGCGCGATCCGGCGACCCCATCTACTCCAACCCCATGCAGGAGGCCTCTAGTGAGCCTCAGGAGCCTGGACCCCTTCCCAGGGACCGGTTCTTCATCACGGCTCGCCTTTTCACGGCCCCGGGGCCGGGCGAGGGCCCCAAGAGGCCGAAACTGGCGAAGAGCCTTCCGTCGTGATCTTCTCACGATCCGAGGGGGTCTGGGACTGTAGGTTCCGCCTCCTTGCCCCAAAGGGGCAGTTTTTTCGCCCCGGGTCCGTCGGGTCCGCTAGCAAATCACAGGAGCCTGGTATACCCTCCAAATTCCGTCTTTAGCGTCGACTAGCGCCGATAAGCGTCCTGGGAGTCGATGAGAGCGCCGATTCAGCGTCGGTCAGCGTCGAATAGCGTCGAGTCAGCGCCGAATAGCGTCGAATTAGCGTCGATTCGTGCCGACTCAGCGTCGACTAGCGTCGATTCGCAAGAGCCGACAAGATGGTATGGGAGGCTCCCATGAGTTGCCAAAGAAAAAAACATGCAACATCGCGTACAGAAAACACCACTGGAGCCCCAGACCTCATCCTTCCGCGTCATTTCTGGAGCGGGATCCATCTTTGAGGGTCTCCGGGCCCGAGACCTGGCGAAAAAACGCCCGCAGTTGGAAACATTGCAACGCCCAGATCTGAGGGTCGAGTGGAGCGGAGGAGGAGGAGGAGGAGGAGGAGGAGGAGGAGGAGGAGGAGGAGGAGGAGAGGAGGAGGAGGGGAGGAGGAGGAGGAGGAGGAGGAGGAGGAGAGGAGGAGGAGGAGGAGGAAGAAGAAGAAGAGGAGGAGGGAGGAGGAGGAGGAGGAGGAAGAAGAAGAAGAAGAAGAGGAGGAGGAGGAGGAGGAGGTGGAGGAGGTGGAGGAGGAGGAGGAGGAGGAGGAGGAGGGCGTCCTCCAGCGCCCCGAGCACGCGCAGGGGATGCTCCCACGAGTGGCCACCGCAGTCGGGGAGGGCTTGGCCCGTCGGCGGCCCGTCCGGGGGGGCCCAGGAGGGGCCCGAGGAGCAGAGCCGCTGGGGCTGTCGACGGCGAGCGACTGCACGTACCCATCGGTCGTTGAAAGTAGTTATTTTTGGAATTCCCAGATTCCAATCCAGAGTTTTAAGTAGGGTATTTTTTACCATCGGTCGTTGAAAGTATGTATTTTTGGAATTCCCAGATTCCAATCTGCTCTAAGCGCCTTCCTACTTCAAGAGTCGAGCGGTTTTCCCTCGTCCCTCCTCCTGAGGAGGCGGGCGGAAGCCCAATCTGCTTCAACGCCTTCCTGCTTCATGTTTCTACCTACTTTTTCTGACCGATGGGTAGTCTGGACTGGGCCCAGGGCGTTTTCTTGTAGCTTTTTCCCAACCATCCTGCGGTGTTGGGTCCTCGTTTTGAAATAACGGTCCCCGCGTTCTCCTCCTCTTCCTCCTCCTCCTCTTCCTCCTCCTCCTCCTCCTCCGCCTCCTCCTCCCCCTCCTCCTTCCTCCATCGCCCTCATCCTCATCCTCATCCTCATCCTCATCCTCATCCTCATCCTCATCCTCATCCTCATCCTCCTCCTCCTCCTCCTCCTCCTCCTCATCATCATCATCATCATCACCATCACCATCACCATCACCATCATCATCATCATCATCATCATCATCATCATCATCATCATCATCATCATCATCATCATCATCATCATCATCATCATCATCATCATCTTCATCAATCATCAGTCATCTTCAGTCATCATCATCATCATCATCATCATCATCATCATGATCATGATCATCATCATCACCATCATCACCATCATCATCATCATCATCATCATCATCATCATCATCATCATCATCATCATCATCATCATCATCATCATCATCATCATCATCATCACCCGTTTCAGCAAACCTCTCACACGTTTCGTGGCCCCATAGGAAGCCCCACCGAAGGTCCCAGTGCTGCCGTCCACATGCGTCCCGCACACCCAGTACAGCGTTTCGTGGCTCCATAAGGAGCCCCACCGAAGGTCCCAGTGCTACCGTCCGCATGCGTCCCGCACGCCCAGTACAGCGTTTCGTGGCCCCATAGGGAGCTCCACCGAAGCCCTCAGTGGGACTGCCCGCATGCGTCCCGGAAGCCCAATTTGGCATTGTCACCCACGCAGTACAGCGTTTCGTGGCCCCAAGAGGGGGGGCTCCACCAAAGCCCCCAGTGGGACCGCCCGCGTTTCCTGGCCCCAAAGGGGAGCTCCACCGAAGCCCCCAATGGGTCCGCCCGCATGCGTCTGGGAAGTTCAATTTGGCATTATCGCCCACCCAGTAGAGCGTTTCGCTCCCCATAGGGAGCTCCACCGAAGCCCCCAGTGGGACCGTCGCATGCGTCCCGAAACCCAATGTGGCATTTTCACCCATCCAGTACAGCGTTTCGTGGCCCCGTACGGAGCTCCACCGAAGCCCTCGGTGGGACTGCCCGCATGCGCCCCGTAAGCCCAATTTGGCATTGTCACCCACGCAGTACTGCGTTTCGTGGCCGCAAAGGGAGCTCCACCGAAGCCCCCAGTGGGACAGCCCGCATGCGTCCCGGAAGCCCAATTTGGCATTTTCGCCCACCCAGTACAGCGTTTCGTGGCCCCGTAGGGAGCTCCACCGATGCCCCCAGTGGGACCGCCCGCATGCGTCCCACACGCTCACTTCGGCATTTTGCACCCACCCAGTATATCGTTTCGTGGCCCCATAAGGAGCTCCACCGAAGCCCCCAGTGGGACTGCCCGCATGCGCCCCGGAAGCCCAATTTGGCATTGCCACCCACGCAGTACATCGTTTCGTGGCCCCAAGGGGGAGGCTCCACCAAAGCCCCCAGTGGGACCGCCCGCATGCGCCCCGGAAGCCCACTTTGTCATTTTCTCCCGCCGAGTAGAGCGTTTCCTGGCCCCAAGGGGAGCTCCACCGAAGCCCCCAATGGGTCCGCCCGCATGCGTCCGGGAAGTTCAATTTGGCATTGTCGCCCACCCAGTACAATGTTTCGCTCCCCATAGGGAGCTCCACCGAAGCCCCCAGTGGGACCGTCGCATGCGTCCCGAAACCCAATGTGGCATTTTCACCCACCCAGTAGAGCGTTTCGTGGCCCCGAAGGCAGCTCCACCGAAGCCCCCAGTGGGACCGCCCGCATGCGTCCCGGAAATTGGCACACCCCTCATACGTTTCGTGGCCCCATGGAGAGCTCCACCGAAGCCACCAGTGGGACCGCCCGTATGCGTACCACACACCAAATTTAGTATTTTCACCCACGCACAGTACAGCGTCTCGTGGCCCCTCAGGGAGCTCCACCGACGGCTCCAGTGCTACCGCCCGCATGCGTTCCCCCACACCCAGTGCAGCGCTTCGTGGCCCCATAGGGAGCTTCACCGAAGAAGATATTTCATAATTGCGGTACCCACAACTGCATATGGTTGGGTCCTTCGCCAGGATAATTCTATCGTAGAGCTTTCGTAGAACTGGAGCTGGACTGCTGTTTCAGAACGCGCTTGGGGTGACGTTCCTTTTTGTAGCGTAAAGCTTTCGTAACTCGAAGCAGCGGTGTACACGTAAGAGTGACCCTCCGCCTCTGTGGCCTTTGATGCGGGCCCAATGGCGTCCCAGGATCGATGAGCGCGAAGCGGTAGCAGCGGCTTGCGCGCCAAGGTTTGGCCATCCCGCGGCCTTGAAAAATCCGCGCACCGAAGGTCACTCTTGCCCAGGGTCACTCTGGCGTGGAGTCGACGCGAGCCCAGGGCCCTGAGATCCTAGCGTGCAGTTATTTCGAGCCTGGCGTCTTCGCCCCGTTGCGGGCCTGGGGCCCTCACAGATCGATCGGGCTCGAAAAATGGCGCGGAAAGATGGGGTCTAGGGCTCCGGTCGTGATTTCTGACGGAACTTCAACTTTTTCGCGCCGTCGGATCTCAGGGGGGGAAGTAGGAAGGGGCGGGCCTTCTCAGAAGGCTCGGAAGTCACCCTGCCTTCTGATCAGTTTTCTGAGCCGCCCCTGGAAACGCAGAAGAACTCTCGGAAGCCTCTAGGCCTCTTCGATGAGGTCGGAGTACATGGGGTCGGAGGATCGCACCGTATTGCCGATACATCGGCGATGCATCGGCGTTGCGGCTCAATGTGGGGCCCAATTTTCTCCACGCCGACATCGCCGAATGCCTCGCCGACGTCGCCAGTGCATCGCCAGTGCATCGGCGATGCGGCGCGCTCTTCCGATCCCATCCACTCCGACTCCATCTGGGAGGCCTTCAGTGGGCCCCAGGAGCCTGGACCCTTCCCTGAGACCAGTTCCTCCTCCCGAGTCGCATTTTGAGGGTTCCGAGGCCCGACGAGGGCCCCCAGAGGCCGAAGCTGGGGAAAAACCTCCCGTCGTGTTTTTTTCGCAACCCGAGGGGGTCTGGGACTGCAGTGGGTCCCGCCCCCCTGCCCCGAGGGGGTCTGGGACTGTCGTAGGGCTCAGAAGCTCCGCCGCCTTCTGAGAGGGCCTTCTCCCTCTCATTCTCCCGCCCCCTTCCCTCACCCGCCGCCGGGTCTGGGCAGTCGCCGTGCCTTCTTTTTATCGTCGGTGCGTGGGCCCTGGAGCCCTCTTCCTCCTTCTCGGGGGCGGCCAAGGAGGTGGGTAATGACTAGGGTTGAGTTGGGCACGTCCCTCTACAGGAGGAATGTTCCAGAATAGTAACAAACAGTCTGGTGATGTTAGCTTTTTTTCCCCAACCATCATGCGGTGTTGGGCCTTCGTTTTGAAGAAACGGTCCCCTCTTTCTCCTCCTTCCTCCCTCCTCTTCCGCCCTTTCCTCCCCCTCTTCCCTCTCCCCTGCGTTTCGCCCACCCAGCACAGCGTTTCGTGGCCCCATAGGGAGCTCCACCGAAGCTCCTCAGTGGGACCGCCCACCTGCGTCCCACACACCCAATTTGGCATTTTCACCCTCGCAGTACGGCGTTTCCTGGCCCCAAGGGGGGGGCTCCACCGAACCCCCCAGTGGGACAGCCCGCATGCGTCCCACACGT